CCACAATGGGTACCATCTTTCGTCGAAAGAAAAACAGAGGCAAGACGGAGGAACGACGTAGGAGAGATAGAACAAAGGAAAAGGGCTACTTAATGGTCCGTTGAGACGAATCTCGAAGAGGCCCCTCTGGGGTTTTGGCATGTGGCTTATTATACCCGCTAATAAGCGCAGTATATCGCGTCGATTATCCGCTAAGTATAGGGTCCAAGCCAAAGGGCTATCGGCATCAACCATTGGGCCCCGATGACCGCACGTCACTGGCATGCACACACATTGCACACAGCCGTAATTCATACGGTTGGCTATAATGGCTGGTCGTCGCTGCCCGTCGTCCATATTTCTGGTCACTCTTTCCCCGCCACACACAAGGAAGACAAATAAATCATAAAATTTATAACCGCGCGCGCGCGCGCGCGTGTGTGTCCGTGTGCGCAACAAAAATTACTCCACGAAAACCGGACGAGAGACGGGGCTAGATGAGGTGACGAGAGAACGAGGGAAAAAGACTTTTGAAGTCTTTTAAGACCCCTCCTCTACGTAATTTGTGTAAGTCGCGAAGTCGACGAGCGAATCGTTTGCTCACAGTTCGCTCTAATAAAGGCGGAAATAAACGGCCGCTCAAAATTTCGGAAGTTTTTTTGACTGCGATGTGAAAATTTTTTAAAAAAATAAAAGAAATTATTTTTATCAACGAAACGAATTCGAAGTGATTATTTTTCATCGAAACTACGTTGTGAAAAAAATTTTTAACGCAAATGAGAGGCGCTCTCGAAAAACAAGGCCAACACGTCATTGATAAACAGATTTATCAATGTGTGCCCGCTCTGTATTAAAGAGGGATTTAAACGGAAACAGATGCCCACATTATACTCTGAAGTGTATCCGGTAGCTCCGGATATCACGTCTTATCGGTTTGCACATTGTAGAACACGGCCCGGTAGTGCACATCGAGCGGTACTAATTTTAACATTTAACCCATATGTGTACCCACGTTACTGCGCGTGAAGCATACACGCGTTCTTAAAAGAACAGTCGCAACTTTACTCCGCACGTGTGTGAAATTCCATTTTCCTTCTCGTCACGTATTTTTCTCTTTGAATATCGAATTGTTTTGTCACCAGAAAAGTAAGAATATATTAAAAGAATTAATATATATTAAAAGTTCACTTCGGTTTTTTTTGGAGGGAGGATTCTTATTTATTTATTCACTTTTCCAAATAATGCGTGTAATCAATTGTTTCTCTTCCGTCACGTTAATGTACTTCGATTGATGACTTTGAGAAGTCTTCAACTCTGTTTCACAAAATCGAAGCGCATTGTCCAGAAGAAAACTTCCTGTCAAGAGAAGAAACTCTCCGCCCCCGAAGAAGTTGTGAAAAAAAAGACAAGGCTCTCTTTCTCTCTCTCTCTTCTCAAATCGTTTTCCATTATTGAGTTGCGGTTTCGCGCGCGCGTTCGTCGGCGAACGCGGAATTCTTATGCAAATACACGAGGGCATCGCGCATTTGAGAAAGTAACCGCGGTGACGCACAAAGGGATATCCCCCAACAAACGTGCCGGCCAGCTGACAATGCCACGGTAGAGAGAAAAGACCGAACGAGCGGTTTACGCTCGGGCGCGCGCGTTCACGACGCGGCGACAGCACCGGCGTTACACACCCGGTTTTATTTACACCTGGCGCGTTTATACCGCCTGCACTTTACCCATCTACGGGGCGCCCACACGTCCATCGGGACATATTTTCGACAACGACATTCCGAATCGGCCGAACCAGTCTAACATTAACGCGAGAGATTCTTTGTTCCCAAAAAAACGTTCCTCTCCTAACGCTCAGTGTAAGACTATCAATTCTGTGCAAGACATTTTTTAGTAAAATTATAAAAAATAAATAATTGCATTGCAACCATTATAATCAGACAGCTGTGCAATATTTGGTCAAAGTAATTAAGGTAACTTGTGACGGATGTGCAGAATGGCCGATGTGTAAATATATTAAACGTAACAATTTTTAATGTTTTAAGTATTTTGTTTGGATATTGGTTTTTAAACATTAGTTTCTAATTTTTTATGTGTATGCAAATACTTTGTTACAATTGTTTTTTTTTTTATAAATAACTGGTCCGGTTGCGCAATCACTGGAAAAAACATTTAATTGATGACGTGTGATTTTTATTCACACGTTAATTTGGCGTTTATTCGTAAGACAGATTTTTTGATCATCTCAAGCTTTCTTTTCTCTTCAGAAATATCATTTTCATCGTAATTTGAATGGAGAATTGTAATCAGAGTTGATCTGCAATTAGCGCGCGGTATATTCGTGTTCCGACCGGAGCGCGCGAATTCGATAATTTCGACAATTAGCGCGATTTGAGGCCGACGAGGTCTAAGGAAATCGATTTCACCGCAATTGCCGGGAATATGGCCTTTTTAATTCGATGTTTCGACCGAAGTTTGTTAGTCGGAGTCGCTGTGAATATACTGCGGGCAATTTAAGGGAGGGCGATATAAATAGGCGCCTCTCTGCGCTCACAAGTCGAAACTAGGAAAAGTTTGCTGTGGTCGAAGTAGCGCAAAAAGTGGAAACAGAAAAGCATCGTCTCGCTCATTGCGTTTATTTGATTTGATTTTTAAAGCGTCCGTTTGTCAATTTTCGACACAATCTGACCCAATAAACTGTCGTAAGAAGAATTTATTTTTTAATTCGCTAACCGAAACTTTCGGCTAAAAACGTGCGGAACTGAGTAACGCACACGTCACTTCGAACGGACCGGATGCGGACGTCATTGTCAGATTTTTTTTTCATACTAAAACGTCTCGCAAATTTACACGTGAGTTCGTCGCGACACACCATCTTACACTTAAAGAAAAATATAGATTTTGTATTTTTATTAAAAAAAAAAAAAATACATAGATATATATCGCGGACGTGCATTTTGCAATTATAAGAGAAAAACGTTATATTGCGATATATAATTATCTAAATGCTTACAATATTTCACAGACAACACACAGCAAAGTAGGACGTAAATTACCCGCGCGTACATAGTTTTCTTCTGAGTTGTGAGCAAAAGACATAACAAAGAGAATTATATATATATATATATATGTGCTTTTGCTATATCGATTATGTTACCGAAGAGATTGCCTACTTGCTAAAACTTTCAATTGCAGTAAACGTACGTAAAGACCGCGCATATATAGCATAGGTACTTTTATGAGAGAAGCCATGTGAAGGTTCACTGATGTATTCTTTAGATGGAATTACGAATAATTAGATGCAATTTTGCGAGATATATTTTTCAGCCGTAAACTTAAAGTGTATAGTTACTTTATACAAATGATTATTTACAAAACAGTATAACTTTCTTCATAAGCAACACATTTTTTTTCCTTTCTTTCTTTCTCTCTCTCTCTCTTTCTCTCTTTCTCTTTCTTTCTGTGATTAAACTAAAAGAAAATTGAAACAAACTTATTAAGTTTGTAGCATATTTAGTTCCAAAAAGTGAAAACAAAATCTATGTAAAACTATATATAAAATATATTAAAAAAAAATAAATTATATAAAAATATATAAAAATATATTCTCTAATGTCTTTAATCTCAAACTTCTTTATTATCTTTTTCTTTCTGTCGATGTATTTTAATCATCGAAAAACGTATCAATATTTTCTTGCTAGTTCTACCATCCTTACTTTATTTTCCGGCAAGTATATGTGGCACAAAAATATATAATAGATTAACAGTTAGAAATAATGATAGATGTCAAAGTTTTAGTTAGTATTTCATAATGAATTAATATCGTCCAAGGTACTTTAAACCACATCGAACGAAGTTTCAGCCTTGAGGACACGATCATAAAAGGACAGCAGCACTTATTATCGGAGATGCAGTTTTGTATGTAATTTTACACAGATACGAAATTATATAAGAATGTGTATGTGTAAAAAAAGTACAAAAGAAAGAGAGAGAGAGAGAAATATATGAACGTGAGAACCTACTGATGCATACGTAATATAATCTGCTACATCTGTAAGCAGTTGATAGTATACGCGCGCGCGCGATAGAAGATAAATTTACAAAATTCCATGATCTTCTCTCTATTCGAATAAGAAAAACTCGAGCGATCAAAAAGATCGACCGATCTTGTCTCGATCGGGAGACAAAAACCCGAGGAATTCTAAGCACGACAGCAACGTACTCGCGACGTGATTGCGATCCGGGCTGTCTTCCGGAAAGAGGAGATGTTACACAAGAAAAAAACGTTCTCCTCGACAAATCGCGACAATGTAATGAACCGTAGAGACGTTTGACGTATACCATTTTTCTGTCATTTTTAACAAATGAAAAACACTGAGACCAGATGCAATTAGAAAAAAAAATAAACAACGCAACAAGATATGTTTTTAAAAATATCCATTTTCACGCAAAACTTTTTATATATACTATTTTTTTATTTACCGTAAAACAATCTCTATCAATAGAATTTCGATGTTTTTACTAAAAAAGAAAAAAATTATGCCAACCGACTTTTATACTTTGCTACATGTATATCTTTTCTTTGCGCGATCACTAGAAAGGATCGCACAAAGAAAACATATTTTGTAAATGAAGTAAACAAAATACAAACAATTGTTTATTGCTTCGCGGCGAAGAGAGAATCGCCGATGCGAACTCAAATCACGCGCTTTGCCGCACGCGGCGATTTAAATCGCCGTTTGTCCACCGCTCGCGGAGGTCAATGTCGTTCCGCGCGAAGTTTTTTTCTTAAATTTCAATTAAACACACGACCGGATCACATTCAACGATATACCATTGAAACATCGCGCGCAAAATAAAGAGAGTTTTGAATCGCGAACAAGAGGGATTTTGCGTGACAGAGGCGCGATTTTTGAAACACCGCGACATACGCAATCTCGTCAAAATAAACTCCCTTTGATTTTCCCCGATCCGCGTGTCCGCGCCAAATAGACTTTTGAAACTATTTCGGAGAAGGCGTTTACCTTCAACTCCTCGTGTTCATCGTCGGAAGAGAAATCCTTATGAAACTGTAGGATCACGGCGCGCTTCTTCTTTTCACTTTCGCGCGCGCGAGAGTGTGTCTCAAACAAATAATCGAGCGAAAAAAATCACCGCAAAGTCACCTGGGATCCACATTTTTGTGAGACGCGCCGTTCGATCGTTTGAACTACCGGCTCGGATAGTGTGCGAACGCTTTGGTTTCCGACGTCGCGTGCCGCGTACGAATGGTTGTGAGCGGTCAGGCGCGTCGCGGCCAGACACGACGCTTCGTGCCTCACTTCACCGTCGCGCCCGTCGGTCGTAACGTTACATACCACCCGGTCGACCAATCCATCGCTCGGAATGATACGTCGATCGACCAATCCCGCGCTTTCGTTTGTGCGCCGTCGCGTCTCACCCCGGCAACGGCGCGTATAAACGAACACCCGTTATGTGTGTGCGTGTGCATATATGTAGAAAACTATGCAATGTCATACAATGTGAAATGCTATACACATTTAAAAACTTTATTGTTATTGTATATTCTTCTCCTATATCAAAAATCCATGTGTACCGCGAAGTGCGCGTTTTGATATTGAATGTATTGCATCTATTGTTGTCTCTTTTGTCCGCGTTGCCGATTAGTTGATTGATCGAGTCGAGTCGAGTCGAATCGAATCGGTAAGATCGAGAGAGTAAGTAATGACAGAAAAGCGATTTTGACAGTTCGTCGTATACGTGGAGAAAATTAAAAACGTGACTAAAGTAAAGTCACTTGACAGAAAAGAGTAGAAAAATAACACGTGATTATTTAAAGTAGCGTGATTGTAATTTATATTATATATAACATTAAATAATATATATTATACATATAATTTATTATATATAGTATACAATATAAAGTATAATATTATACTTTATATTGTATATTATATATATTATGTACATACTAACGTAAGGTCACTGACCTCGGTCGCGCGACTTTGGTGGGGTCACTGACCTCGGTCACGCGACCGCGGCGGAGTCACTGACCTCGGTCACGCGACCGCGGCGGAGTCACTGACCTCGGCCGCGCGACATTGGCGGGGCCATTGACTTCGTCACGTGATTACGGTATATATATAGATATGTGTGTGTGTGTATTATATATAGATATAGAATAGTATATATAATATATACAATATAAAAATATATATAAAATATAAAATATATATAATATAAAAAAATATATATCTTATTGTTTTCTCTACGATATAGTTTTTTCAGAGGATCAAAATTAAACGTGTCCCTAGAAAATTTAGATTCTTCTACGATAAAAAGTAAAGACTGTCACGAAGCGTTGACAAGAATGGAAAAATAGGTAAAAAAAATAGATAGGGTAAAAAGATAAGGTCGTGTTGTAAATTATTTTCCTGAAAGCTCACACCCGTTATAACTTCTTGAAATATTAATGTGGCGTTTAACGAGACGCGTTTAACAGACGTTGATTCGACACGTGTCAAGCAGAACTTATATGACATTCATAACGCAATAACATGGAGCTTTTCACATATACGCATATAGCTTACATCTAAATTAAGAATACCACTTAAAAATAAATCCAACAAAGTTACACATATCCATGCTAGTTCGTGTAACAACTCAATATTGAAAAAAAACTTTTTTTTATATCGTAAAAATATATTATATCGCAAAATATATATATATATATAGTCTGAATTAAAACTTCTAGAGTACAGAATATTTGACAAATTTGGTTTTAATTGTTAGAAATTTAATTATAAGAAAGTTCTCTCGGAAAGTGAGATAATAGAAAAAAAAAACGCCTAATATGTCTGTGAAGCTACACGCAGTAAAGGAGGGAAAAGTGGTACATAAGGGAAAGTCGGAGAGTTGTTCAGGTACAACATAAGTCTGTCTACGCTCTTGTGGACACGCTTTCGCATTATTTTTTTGTATTTAAAACCAGACGGACACATATATATGTGCGACGCGGAATAATACACAACTGCGCAATCAACAATCATCAACTGATCCCACGAGGCACGCGTGATCGCGATAATGCGCGTAGATTCACGCTTGTTTTTTATACACTCTCTATAACGCGCACTTCCCCCAATAATAATTCCAACGTTGAATAATTAGATCTCGGAGGAAGCACAGAGGGGAAAAAAAAAAAAAAAACGAAGCGTGTGAGTGAAGCTCTTGCGACTCGAGCGACGGATGCGTTACATGTTTTCTCGGCGTGTTTACTCTCGGCGCCAACGGGCACGCACAACGTGCGCAGTAGCGCGCGCGCGCTCGCGCGATCGAGAGTACGTGTGAGCGTTTGTACAGTCTCGGGCAAAGGTAATGAATCAGTGTGCCGTGGTCGTTTGTCGGATGCTCCGATGATTAATGTCACGGTCAGCTGTTTTTCCGTGCGCTTACTCGACAGAACAGCGCAGTGGCGATGATTTGCTGAGAAACGTCGTCGCACGTGTTCGATTATCGACATACAACAGGCGTATACTGCCTTCCGCGCTACCAAAATGGTAGAGCCTATTTTCGATTATCAATTCCGTTTGATACTGATCGGCGACAGTACGGTCGGGAAGAGCTCGCTCCTTAAATACTTCACCGACGGCAAGTTCGCGGAGGCAAGTATCAAACGACGACTTGGCGCAGACGTGTCGTCTAATATAAAACGCCCCGAATGATGTGCGTAACAGGCTGCCATTTAGATGCCCATCGGGCATAATATGCGCACTACGTATCTCTTTCTTTCTTTTCTCTTTATCCTCCCGTCTTGTCCGCGCGACGCTGTAAATACGGCGCTTTCGCGCGAGATCGTGTCTTACGCGAGAGAGCCTGTCAATTTTAAAAATAATCGCTCAATTGCCTCGCTCGTCCGACACACGACATTGCGATGATTTAATCAGGTTAGGCAAAGTTTTTTTGTATACACGCTATACGCAGCCTTGTTATGTCAGAATGTGTTTAGCAGTAATGACCTCTGCTGATTTCTAGAATAAAGTATAAATGTTTTTTTTTTTTTTTTTTCATGTTTGCATATCCGTCTTTTGTCTTTCCGTACTTATCTTGTCTTTTGTCTTGAAACACATTGATTGATTGGGTTGTCATCCAGTGCAATGTGTGAAAAAAAATGCTCTCTCTTATCTTTAATATCTTATATATCTTTTAGCTTTCAGATCCAACTGTTGGCGTGGACTTTTTTGCAAGGCTAATAGAAGTTAAGGACGGAACGAGAATAAAATTACAGTTATGGGATACAGCTGGTCAGGAGAGATTTAGGTAAATGTACATTTTTGTTTTTTACGCATATTAAAGAAAATAGAAAAGTGCGAAGTACATGCGCAACTTTATTGTCAATTCTCATCACTTAACTTGAATCTTGTTTATTTTGTATTCAGGTCAATTACAAAATCTTACTACAGGAACTCTGTAGGGGCACTTCTCGTATACGATGTTTGTAATAGAGCAAGTTTTGAGCATATTCCTCAATGGATGATGGAAGCTCGTAGACATATTGAACCACATCGTCCTGTCTTTGCTTTAGTAGGCTGTAAATTAGATCTGGTAACAAACGGTGGTAGACGAGAAGTCTCCAAAGAAGAAGCCAGGGCGTTTGCTGATGAGCACGGTGTACATCATATTGAGACCAGTGCAAAAACTGGTATAAATGTTGAAGAAGCGTTTCGTACAGTTACGCAAGAAGTTTATAACAGGATACAAACTGGCGAATACAAAGTGGAGGACGGTTGGGACGGCATCAAAACGGGATTTGCCAGACCTGGTGGTTTAGACTTTAATCTAGTCGAGGCAGAACCAGCAAAGACTTCATGTTGTTAGGTTATTACTTTTAATTCACTAAAAAATTAAGTAAACCGGGTTGCAGAATGCAGATGGGATAGTTATATATATATATATATATATATCAGGGAGATACACATTAAAAATTATATGTAGCTTGAGAAATCACTATATATGATATGATTTATATTTATACTCGTTTATGTATATTTGTCTTGGCTGTAAAATCTATTATAATTTACCATAGATATTGATCTGTTTCTCTAGTTCCGATATGTATAAAATGTCAACTGATCATATACAATGTTATCTATGCAATGTTTTTTATTAATGTGACGAGTAACTTCCTACTGCATTCTTGTTTTAGAAAAAAAAAAATTTGAAACTGACGAGCGATTATTATTATTATTATTATTATTATAATAACATCTCTGGGTTAAAAATTTCTGTATATATGCTTATACGTTGTTTATGTCAGATGACTAACAAAATTTACCTAAAATTTTGTAGAGTGTAATTAAACATCGATAAAAAAAAAACATAGAGTAAGAAAAATCTATTTTTACGTAAAATATAATTCTAAAAAAAAAAAAATAATTCTTCATTGAATTGAAAACTTTCATGCCTGTGTACATACATTTAATCCCTTCCAAATGACATATCTTGGTCACTGGTTGAAGGCTATATTGTGCCAAGTTTATATACATCTTGATATATATACCTTTAAATATATATATCACGTAAATCTGTTAAAATATATGATTTGAAGAACTGTTTTTTTTTCTGATTTAGAAATATCTGTAAACCACATATAATGCTGTGTGTAAGTACTTGTACTTACAATATATTTGTAAGACTAACTGTATCTATCAATATATGTATAGTTGTAGCAATATATAGAGCAGAAAATTGCGTCAAAGACATAACTTAACACGTGACGCGCTCGTTTTATGAATATCTCATTTATATTTTAATTCTCATTACACAAAAAAATGCCCAAAACATGAACAATTTTGAACTTACTCATGGAAGTATTAGTTTCAGCAAAAGTGCAATGATATATATAAGTTTAGGCAAAGAGTCGCGTATATATTACCGCATATATTAGATTTGTTACTCTATATATATTAAATTTTAACAAAATGACATCATTTATTGCAATTCATCAATTATATCTCAATTTTGTTGGTCATCTGATATATTAACAATTCATAAGTGTGTTAAGTTGTAGGATTGTTTTGACTGTTTCAAAGACAAAGTTCATGTAACATTATATGAAACATTAAAATTCATAACACATTTTCATAAATGGGGTTTTACTATTTGTCACACAGGATCAATAATGTTATTCAATGAACGGCTGTGCAGCTTCGTTGAATCCATTTTTTGTGAGATATAATAAACATTTATTTCTTTATGACAGCGTACGAGATTTATTATTTATAATGCTAAAGAATTATTATGTCTTTTTTTTAGCAGGTAGATAGTGTAAAAAAGCTGGTGTTAGGCATATAAAAAATATATAAAATTATCATTTAACTTTCGGTGAAGTCACAGGATTTGTAAAAAAAAAAAAAAATATTGAACATATTTGTAACATATATGTATTTTTAGCACTGTTGTAATTAGTATATATTGTAAGTCGCTTACTTTGTGTATTATATACAAACAACTTGAACATAATACCAAAGTATAGAGAGAAAACCGATATAACATTATATATAAACAACTTGTATTTTAAATCGGAATACACAGTAGAAAGTGAAGATTTTTTACAAGCTAGTATCGCTATTTTGAATATATCTCTTTTTTTATCTGGAATATATTTTATACTCTGTAATATAATTTTTACAACACACGCAAATGTAATATTTTTTAAAACTGTTGAAATGATCTTATGAAAATAAATTAACACAGACATATTATATATATATATATATATATTATGTTATTAAATATTGGTATATTATATTGTGGATGTATAATTAATTAAAAAGTGTTATATTCACACATAAAAACAAGTATTTCTTTAAGTTTTATGTCATCAATGTGTATACACACAATACTTTTAAGTAAATTTATATATATACACACACACACAGAGTTTGTAAGTAGTAAAATAAATATTACATGTGCTACACGTGTGCGCGCGAATATAATCCTTCTTTAGCAGATTTTATACTCGGCAGCTGTGGTATGAAATAAACATACATACACATTTGTAGGGGATTTTATAAATACGTCGTACCTTAAAATACATTACAAGAAATATATATATATTAATTATACAAAAAAAAAATCCTTTTAGTACTAATATTTTATAAGAATACTGAACTTTTTCTCTTTTATAGATACATACATCCCGTTCATGTAACTATAAAAAGAAAAAATTAATACNTAAGTATGTACTTTTGATAAATTATAAACTAACAATGTATGTTTTTTGCATAGTTAATGTCAATAGAAATTGCTCGGCTTTCTAAATAGAAAACAACGAAATAATTTTTTCTATCTTCTAATGTTTTAATATTAACTTTTCTAAAGATACATTTTTTCTTGTGTATTTTATATATTATATGTGTATATATTGTGTGTGTATAATTGTGTCTGTTGAATATATATAAACAAAAAAAATAAGAGGATAATCTGAAAAAAAATTTATTTACATGTTATACATTTCTTATTATTAATAACAAAATCACAAGCAACAGTGCGAGGTTATTTGATTTTTATAGATTTTAACATAAAGTGTTTGTTTTGAAGTATTATATTAAACTTGTTTAATATACATGCTGAACGTCAAAACTTCTCGTCTGCTGCAAAGGCTGTTATGGCAAAGAATATTTTTATAGTTTGTTCTTATTTTTCTCTCTTTTTATCTCTCTCATTATGTAACTCAGATGTTTAGAAAAATCTTACTGTTCGTCTACACTATATGAATAAAAATCCGTAAAAACAACAAAATTAATAAACATTGCTACGTGGAAACATGTTTCACACACTGGAGTCATGTAAATATATTTTTTTTACTTTAAAGATTGCATTTTCACGAGTCATATTCCAAATATATTAAAGATGCAAAAATCTTTCATTTTGAAAGTGAAAACGAGATACAGCGTATGTGCACATGTTGTATGTATGCGTTATAAACTACTCTTTAATGTCGTAATTTGTTCAAAGATTTTCGTAATTACATTTTAACATTTCACAGAATTGAAGCTGCTTGTGAACACCTAAGTAAATCTTCTCTGATAGAATTCTCTAGCACAGCTAACACAATAATAATTTATATATAATATACGTAGACATTTTGTTAATATATGTCTGATGTAACATAGCACTCGCAACATTACCTTTTTATAATCAATATATATATATTAGCTACACACAATACATATTCTCTTATCTTAATAATATATTAATCTTATTAATATATTTAACTCATCTTAATATATGTGCTCTAATTATACAACTATCACAAAATTCAATTACAGTCTCTTAATCAATAAAATATACGCCCCCTTCTATCTCTCTCTCTCTCTCTCTCTTTCTCTCTCTGTTGAATATATATTAATATTACGATATATATATATGTATATATATATCTCAATACAATATCTTGTACACTAAAATTATATCTATAACAAAAGAGGCATATATTAATAATAACAATATCGTCGTACTTTATGAAGAAACTATCTCTTTGTGTAATTTAAATCTTTATATCTTTAAGTGATCGTGAATTGCTAATATGATTATTTAACATTTATCTTGGAAGAGAGAAATGTTCCGCTTTGCTGAATCTATGTTTAGATCTATATATATATATATATGTATATATGTATATATGTATATATGTATACATATATATATATATCTAAAATGACTAGAAATATTTTTATGTTTTTGTTCGCGTACACATACTTCTTTTGGCAAGAGAAGAAGGGGAGAGAGATTTCTGTGATATAAATGTACGAAACAGAGTGAACAATTTCTGGAAATCTAGCTAGCATTATATAATACTTCGTATGTATGTTTATCGTTTATACATAATGGTCTGTACAGTTTTTAACTTTAAAGCGAGTTTTCTTTTATTATTATTCTATATTTACAAAACAACTCTCTTTTTTGCACGTGCTATGTACACAAAAAAGTAGTAGGTATAGCTTTATACTTCCAAATTATTCAGATGACACCGAATTATACGGGTGTGAAAACACTTATGCACATTGTCATATAACATTGGGTCGAATTAACAATATTAGAACAGGAAATTACTTTGATGTACATAAAGTTTTACATAAATCTTTTCTAAACTATTATAAATAGATAATATTAAAGATTTTGTGTGTGTGCGCGTGTGTATAAATTTAACTTCTTATTTCGAAGTATATGATATAAAAATGTTTCAGATCAAAAAACATAAAAATGGCGTGTCTCTTTTACACGTATATAAAAAAATCTAATTCAAAAATAATACATTCTGTGCACAAAATAAATATGTAACAAACAACATTCTTATTCAAAATGTTCGATACAGATCAAAATGAAGCGATATTAAGAATGAAGAAAAATGCCTTTAGAAATTAAGAGAGCATATATAATTTCAGAGTTATGCAAACTACAAACAATTCTGGATACGTATGAATATATGTTTCCTCTCTTTCCATATACATCAAATTACATTTAAAAAGAAATATATTCAAGTTTTTGTCGTAAAATATTGAAAGTATTGCTGCAAACTTTTATTTTAATATCCTTTCCGTAGAGAGTTTTATTAGGTCCCGAGTACATAGCTCCCAAAATGATGTATATATTTGCTTACGTTTTTATCGGAAGTTATAAAAAAAAGTAATATCAGAACTACCGAACTATAATCTTTTACACACATACACACACAGAAATTATGAATAGCAACATTTGAGAAACGTATGCAGATACCTTTAAAGAGTGAACATGATTATATTTTGGAATGTGTTTCAGGCCCCCCTCTCTCTCTCTCTCTCTCTCTTCACAACTATCTACATTATTTTCTTTCAATTTATAGACAATATAAGAGAAAATATACTTAATGATGGTAACACTTACTTTCCTGTCATTATAAATTATATATGCGTCATATAATTGATCAATCATATTATAAGGCATCATCTATTACACCCTCATTGCTATGTTCGAGAGACTCACATCCAAACAGTACGTATTCTTCTCGTGATAGCCAAAATGGACTACCTTCAATATATTCCGGTGGAGTTTTATCTGAAACAAATTTTGAAAGATCGAATATAATGTAGAGATTTATCTTATATTTAACTTTCATTACTTTGTCTAATTATTAGTTTACGAAAAACATATACATATATGTAGAGAAGCCGTATATCATTGCTTACCAGGATGCACAGCTAAAGGCACATATGTAGACCCCATTGCGACGTTCCAACTATGCGTGCCAGGACAGCTTCTTACTTCTAAAATCTTGCTGTATTCCGGCAATTGCTCTCGCAGATCCTTGGTAAGTCTCAATTCAAAACCGGAAAGATCTGTGTTTCCACCAGTAAGTAAAATATGCGAGAGGCAATCGTGCATTATGTCTTCTGGTAATCCTGATGTTACTTCTTTTATAACTTCCGGTAAACGTAGGCTAATGTACATCATCTCGGGAGCTATGTACAACTCGGGGCCTAATGAAACTCTCTACGGAATGTTACAATAAAATTAAAATTTTTCAACAATTCTTTCAATTCTTTTACTACGAGAACTTTAACATTTCTTTTTAGATGTAATGTGGATGGAAAGAGAGAAAACACATATATCATAGCCATACATACCCAGAATTGTTTGTAGTCTGCATAGCTGTCAACTCTGAGATTAATATGTTCTCTTAATTTTTGAAGACGTTTTTCTTCGTTTTTAATATTGTAGCTCAGTCTACATCTTTCTTTAACAGCCAGAGTATCTAAATAAGATATAGGGATCTGATGATATTCTTTCGGCTGCCAATGCATAGCTTGCTTCAAGTGATAAGCAACATGCCAACCGCCTACAGGCAGCAGTTTCCAGCGTTGTGGTATAACTCGTCCTCCAATTACAACAGCTACTGTTGTGCTCAAAGCACCACTATCAACCACCACACAAGTTTCTACATCTAGCATGGCACATGCTGCCAAAGGTTTCGGTACAAGACATACTCTGCAATATAAAACAAATCTTATAATATAATATTTTCGATAAAAAAATCCTTAATATATTAACCTAACAAATATATTAAGTGCTCATACAGTAGAGAGTAGTGTAAAATGTGAGGTTGCGGGTGTAACTGTTTCGAAGAAAATGTGACTTTGCTCACAATTGCTCTGACGGTTGTTAGGCACATAAAAAAAAACTAAATAAAACAAAACAAACAAAAATTAACTGCTCATACTCTTGCTATATACAAAATACTCATACCTTGCCACTTTGACTTCCTGGAATAAATAATGTAACAACTGTTTTCTCAATGTTGGATGCATAGCCAGTGGTTCACAGAACTTGAGAACAGTGTTTGGTTTTCTCAACATTGCAGTTAAATTCATTTGATGAAACAAGTGATCGATAAAGGTCTTAAGAACTGGAAACGTGCCTTCATATAGCAACGCTTCTGCTGGACTCACAATATCTACATTTGGAATACCCAAAACTTCAACTGTGTCAGTGCAGTAGCCATTTATAAGTTTCTGATAAACTGGATTGGATCTAGTATAACACATTGGATCATTCTGATGTGTAATTAATCTTCGCTTCTCCCTGTATAATTTCACGGAATTGCAGAAAACACAGAATGGTCCACTTGGCCGTGGAATCTTAGCAGTTGCCAATTCCGATAATTTCAATAATTTCAATCTCTTCGCTAACGACTTTGTATCGGATTTCGAACGTGTGCTACAGCTCGGAACATTCTGAGTCTGTACTTGTTCCAAATGAGTTTTATTGTTGTATTTTGGAATGCCAAACATTGAGAAATGTCTTCTCAAACCAAAGTATGGTGTAATGACCCATGTGTATTTATTTCCAATTTCAATCACCACCTTGGCACTGGAACCTTCCACGCAATTTCTTTGACACGTATAGCCACTGCAGTGATAACATTTTGGAAAAGGTACATTCTCTCCCAGTGTTATCACCATATGCAATCTGTAGCACATGGCTTTAAAGCTGACGCTAAGTAACTGCAGACATTTTATATCTGGGAATCTAAACTGTACCTTTGAAATCAACTGCAGCCATTTTATTTTCCTAAAATAATACAAAGCATGTTGTCACTAAAATAGAAAGAAATTAATTTTGTTCAAATAATAATAATAATGATACGACATCTCAACTTTTTCATTGCGTTAAAGAGATATCACTCCTTCGATTTATATCCGATATTTTATTTTCTCGAGAAAGAAACGATTAAAAATTATATGTATATACACACACATATATATATATAAATTTTTTTTCGTATAAACTTTTAAGCAAGAAATCTTACAAAAGTAAGAAAACGCGTTAAATATCAGTTGCGTGTGACGAAATTGCGCATTTAAAACATATATCGCTCACAAGTTTGTTGAAATTGTTCGATTTGACAGAGAGTATCACGCAAACCTAACCTACCACAAATAGTCCGTATCCGACGTTTTCCTTAAATACTTGCAGGTGCTGCCGAAAGCAATAATGTCAGGTACATCGCAGTATAACAAAATTTTAATCCAAATCTCTTCCGGGAAGACCGCAGGATCCATAATTATTGTTATTAGGATAAAAACGATAGAAAAGTATACGATCAACAGTCACTCGCAAAGGCTTTCAGACACTCCCCAGAACCAACGAATACGCTAGTCAAGTTCAAGGTTACAATAACGCGAATAACGCAAATCAATATGTTATCCGCAGACGGTATCGTTGCGGCATCACAAAATTATATTTGAAAAATAATACGTCTGATCAATCGTACGTACATACAACGTGATTTGTGCGATTCATTTAATTATTTAATATACATAAATACATATCAAAATGTGTGTACAATATTGTTTTTACTAGAAAAAGATTTGCTTTTATAAAATTCCCATATGTAAACTATATACATATACATATACATATATATATATATATATATATGTATAGTATACACTTTAATATATTATTTAAGAAGCGATTAACAAAGCTTCAATATAAGGATTTTTACGAGAGAGAGCATTTTGCTTCAACGATGATATCTGACTTTCTAAGTCAGCATCAGATAAAGAGTTATCCAAAGTTTTACATTTTGTCAAAAACTCCGAGATAATCGTCTCAGCTTCCTGAAAAATAAAAGGTTCAAAGCTACCTTTCAATCTCCCTTATAGCAAATTCTTAAACTAGCTACCACAGAAATAAGAACATGTAAATATATATATATATATATATACTTAAATATATATGAAAAGATACCTGAATGATTTTTCTTTTCTTCTGTGGATTATCAGATCCTTCAAAAAGTATACCTTGATAGTCCTCAAGTTCTGCTTGCTTCCTTTTGGCAAACTAAATATCGCAATAACAAAGAGTATAAAACTTTTTTCTCTCATTTTATTTTAATCACATGTGAGTTAAAAAAAATACACACACCTCTATCACATCTTGTGGGAAATTAGCCATCTTGGCAACGTGAAGACCAAAGCTCTGGTCGCAAATTCCTGGCATTACTTTATAAAGTAACGTCAATTTATTGCCGTCGACAAGAGCGGTGACATGTTGATTTTTTACAGTAGGTATTTCTTCAGCCAATCTTGTAATTTCGTGGAAATGTGTGGCAAACAAGCAGTACGATTTAATATCTTTTGCCAAATGCCTAAAGATAAGTCACAAAATTCACTGTAATGATGTTATCAAATTACAAAATTTAAGAGGTGTGCTTATTCACTTACTCTGCTATTGACCAAGCTATACCACAACCCTCGTAAGTGGAAGTTCCTCTCCCCAACTCGTCAATAATTACGAGAGAATTACACGTTGCTGTCTGTACATAACAGATACCATGATATACATATTATATTTCCATTACAATTGCTTAACAAATATAACCAATATAAAAATTAAATTACTTTTAAAATGGCAGCTGTTTCTATCATTTCCATCATAAAAGTTGACAATCCTTTTAGTTGGGAATCGTCGGCTCCCACTCGAGCCAGTATACAATCCAGTAACGATATAGTCGCTTTGTCGCAAGGAACAAAACTACCGATGTGAGCCATTAGTGCGGTTACACCAACAGATCTAATGTAAGTACTTTTACCTCCCATATTTGGACCAGTAATAATGCAAAAGTGACATTGATCTGTAAGAGCGAATTAAAGTATGTATCAGTTACTCTCTTTATAAAGACGTTCGTTAATTCAAGAATTCAGATGTGAGAGATTATTTTATGATAAATTTTTTATATTACCTCGTTTAAAGCTGACGTCATTGGCGATATAATCTACTCCTTGTAGCATTTCCAAACAAGGATGTCTGACTTGAACAAGATTCAATTCGCCTTTTTCACTCGGGAGCATCTCGGGACGCGCGTATACTTTGTTCGCGCTTACTGCTGCAGAAGCAAACGCGGTAAGAATGTCGAGACATGCCAGCACACCGCCGATAGTACGCACTGTTTCGCTATAACCAGCTACACGTGCGAGAGAGATACACGAAAATTAGCAATCAATTACAGTTTGATATGTTACAGTAATTCTTATCCAAGAACTGAAGCAAACCTGCAATTTCCACAATTTCCCCAATAACATCTTTCTGTTTTTCCATGTACTTATGTCTGATGGCTATAAAGTCCTCATTCAATTCGTACAATTTACTGTTTCGAAATCTTACACCAGTTTTATTAGAATCCAAAATTGTGTAGTGCTTCTTATTCCTAAGTACTTTCTCTTCTTTCAACGTGATGCGAAAGTAATAGCCGAACTGTTGATTAGATTCCAATTTTATTACTTTTCCCGCTTCCAAGCAGAGATCATCCGCTACTTTACCGAGTTGTTTCTGTATAATTTCTTCCATTTCGTCCATGGAATCTTTTAATCCTGCAATATCCGCAAATTTGTATATACACAAATTATCTATTTTCATTATATTTTTATCTTAAATTTAAAAACAAAATTAAATAAAAACAAAAAATATACACAAGATGGGTCAAATTTATTACCTTTGAAGTCATCCGAAAATCCTGGATTGATCATGAAATCGCCCTTTTCGGCAGCATCTAAATCGATTGTCTGTTCAACTAGTTGTTGAAACTTATCCATATCTTCAATAAGTTCTTTCAATGGATCTATTATCATTGCTTTCAATGCCGCCACATTCGCTTCGGACGAAAGTTGTTCTAATAGTTTTGGCAAGTGTGATACACACAGGTAGATTCTAAAACATATACACATAATATAATAAACGTCGTCAATATACGAAGTTTGCAAGTACATTTTGTTTCAATTGCGGCTTACTTGTAACAATCCTGAAGTGCCGATTTCTTTCTGGCCAATTTTTTCGCGAGCTGTTGCAAATCCGGTATACGTCTCAAATAATCGTCACTTAGAACAGATCGTAATTCGTTGTTTTTTACGAACAATTCAACGATGTCGTGCCGTTCTTTTATCAGAGACAAGTCTCTAAGAGGCTGCCGAACCCATTGCGCAATCAGTCTGTGTCCTTGTGGGGTTCTACATTTGTCCAGCAGTGTCAAAATACTGCCAACGGGATTTCCGTGTAAATTAGAAGCCACATCTACAGTTGGTTCGATGTTGAGGGCTTTTATTGCCGCAGAATCTAGCCTTATATATCGCGATTGCTCCACTTGATTTAGAGAGAACTGATTCATATTGCCTTCGTCCGATGTTAACTAAAGATAATATACATAAGAACAACTTTTTAATTTAAAAAAAATATTACAATTAAAAAAAAGCAAAGATACGATAATATTACGCAAAAACATCTTTTAAATAAAAATTAGAATAATATTTACGTCTAAATATTTAATGAGAGCAGAAGTGGCAGACATGGCTAGACTTAAATTGACCTCTGGTAGCGATTGCACATTCTGTTTCTGTCCTTTTTTAAATTTTATCAACGTATTCAGATCGTCTATAATTGAATCACTGGAAAATTCACTTTTTTTTCTTAAAGTCACCAATACATTGCTTCTTTCTATTATCTAAAATCAAAGTAATTACAGTGAAACATATACATGTTTTACACAAAACAGCGCGGTATATGTTTTACATACTTGTTTAAGAGTTTGAAATTCGTAACTTCCCTCTCCTTGAATTAACAGACATTCTTTCGGAGCGAGAGTTACAACCAGCGACTCCAGATTTGAAAACGACTCGTTGTCTTGAAATTCGGCCACTGAAATTAAAGTAGACACAACGTCCACGCAACTCAAACCGACGACCTGTGCGCAAATGTTTATTGATTTATGATCAGTAAAAAAACGTCGTGTCTCAGAAAATATTTATACACACACACACACATGAGAGAGAAACACACTCACCCGGGATTTTCCCTCGGTACCTAGTCTCACAGCTATTACGGACACACCTACAGCTATGTCAGTATTGCCAAACAAAACGTCTTCGAAATGCGCCAAGTTGCCGGGCGAACCTTTGAACTCTAAAACCCAGTTCTGATTCTTCGAGGAACCCTGATTGACGTAAACTTCAACTCTGTATTGTTTAACTAACAACAAATCGCGCACAAATGTTTCAAAATGGCTCTTATTAAGAATAACACCTTCCGTTTTGTGCGGTTCTGCAAGCAAAATGTATTTAAATCAAAATACATATTTGCAAAAAATTATGCAACTCACAGAAACATAAATTTTTCAAAGTTATCATTTGCACGTACCAGCTCCGATAATTTTACAAACGGACGTTGTTTTGAATATTTCTTGTGCGGCAAACAAGGCATCGCTTCCGTGCACTGTGTAATAATCAGATCTATTGAAGATTCGTATCGTTGTCTCAGGTTTCTGAAATATGATTGTCATCACTGATTAGTGCAAATTCTAGACAATAATTTTGTAAATTTTCTCAAACGTATTGAAGCGTGAAAAAATATTTCATAAAGTATACATCATATATATATTTTTTTCTGAAATCTATATATATATATCATAATATATATTCTGATCTTTTTCTGCTTTTGTACAAACTTTCTCTCGAGGAAAAATATTTTATGACAAATGTGACGAATTGAGAACGCATGGAGCGTCACTATATCGTTATAAATTGAATCTGACACCGTGTGTTCAAGCTGTCATTTAAATTCATCCTTGATCTATTTGCGTAACGTTATAAGCTTTTTAGAGATAAGCACATATATAATTTTTTTCTTTTTATAATGCAATATCACAGTTATAACTCCAATTATCATCAACGCATTATTATGTGCGCTCAGACTTGCTAAATATATACTACCAATACTATAATATTCAGCTCTACGTTTAAAGCGTAGCTGTACCATATTTTTAACAAACGTGCCTCTTACAAAGTCAGAGCAAATCTATAAATTTCAAAAACCATTTTAAAACAAGAAGGTATAATTGCATGTTCTTATATTTTTTTTATAGCTATGTTTATAATGGTATATACATGGTATGCAATTGTTTTATGTATGTACATTTTTGATGTGACAATACGTCATTATTGTTTTGAGAAGTATCGTCACATATTTCACACATTTCCAAGAAATTAAAAACCTTGTAACATATCTGTGGTTCAATGTCTATCAAGGGGTCAGAGTATATCATAGGTCGTCACAGATTCGACGCATGTGGATTTATAGAAGTTTGAAATCTCACAAGAAAATGTTGAGTACGTTAGCGCGCAATGAAGGAACATGCAAAATATTTTGCACAGATAATTCCGTATCTACAATATTTTTACTTCGCAATTTTTATCTTCTATATATTTTCCTTGTCTATTGAATTGTGCAATACTCCTTTTTTTGAACTGCTACTTTAGTTACTTCTTGAATTTTCTGAGAGACAAACATAAACAAATAAATTGCTACAAATTTTTCTAACACATATATTAAAACAAATTGCTAAATAAATCATGTGTGCTAAATAAATTTTTATCTAACAATAAAATTATTCCTATTTACAGTCCTAATTCTCAAATGCTTGTGAAAGTGCATCGCTTTTCCAGTTAGTGAACGTTAGCTTCTCGATGGGAAATCCCGACAGCTTTAATGGCACCCACATATTGAGGTCAGTATCGAGGAAATATTATTCACCCTCAGCTTGATAAAAGGTCATGGATCTCTATTCCAGGAAGGTCAGTAATTTCATTGCTAAAGTAGGCCACCGGTCGTTTTTGTTTGTTGCAATCGAGTTTTTCCGTTCGATTTCTTTCCAATGCTACAAGTTAAGTTTAAGAAATGTTCCTGGAAGATAAATGGCCTTTACGTAACAGGATAACCTTGAAATCACTTCTGATACTGAATGAAAGTGAATCTCGCAACAAGGATGTTACAAATCCAGAATGACTTAATCAATGACACATCAAACTAAATATGGAAAACCGCTCTGTAGCCACTTGGCGCTACCTGGAAGTCGTGTGTTTGTTGTACACGTAAGGCGCGCGGCATACATTAGATATTTAATTCATCATGTTACAACTATCCAAACAGATTTGATTAGTAGGAAATAAATTTAATTACGGCGATTTGAATTGCAAAAACAAAGCGAGCGATTAATATTTATTTTCTATTCCAATAATATTATATACACACTATTGAAACTCTTTTGTTCCTTGGGAGAAGAAAAAATCTCTTTTCCCCACACAATCATTCTTACTGTATATATTAAATGTATAAAAAATTAATTTGCATATAAAACCACTTAATTTTATATATAATACCGTTTTATTTTTATAGATCTTCTTTTTTGAAGAATTTTCTGTATACGAGAAAAAATAACAAATCCATAATTTCAAGTTGTAGAAGGAAACGCGAATTAAGAGGAAATATACTTCTGGAAATATACGATCTGACACTTTCACTTATGACAAAACTAAATCTCCATGTTACTGAGAATTACATGTGATAAGAACAAGCATGAAACGGAATGAATAAAAAGAGATGAGATTGCTAAGAGCAAAAAAAAAAAAAAAAAAAAATACTCCGCGAGAATCATCAGTTCAAGAAGAAGGGGAAGAGAACATAAATGGATTTGCAGTAATCTGCTGCTGCTGTATGTGAGCCCACAGTGTTAGTGAGAACATCTCCGCATTGACACCTGAAATCATAAGTGCATCTCGATTTTTTACTACAAGGTAATAAAGTACAGTGCATATTGCGTTCGTTAATTATAAAGAGAAAAGACAGGTGTTACTAATGTGTGCGTATAAAAATTGTGATTCAATAGTGAATACGAAATGAGAAATTACATCATTCGTCTCGATACAATAAAAGAAACTGTTTTTTTTTGCTGTTTGTTTTTTACACATACGAGATGCAAATCAAGCATTCTGTGCATTTTCATGACTATTATTTACAAGTTTAAAAAATGTATATGTTTGCACGTACATCCGGCATGTTGCCTCGCATGGAGTACCTTAAAACTGAGTTGAGCCATTATCGCGAGCCCTAAAATTTGTTGTTTCGTCGCTTTTGTTCTTGTTATAACAAAGTAACGTAATAAGAGATCATGTAACGTTACTTGATAAATTGTTTACAATCTCATTTTTGACAAAAACAAACTTGCGTGTATATTTCCAAGAGAATTTTATGCAAGATTAATATAGAAACTTGTTCTACTCAAAAAATCATTGTGATAATAATCGCAAAACTGCGCGATATATTTTGCATTAAAAACTTTTTCCTTTTTTTTTCTCTCTCTCTTCCTCATTTATCGCTGACTTTGATGAACCCGTCTATGTAGTTATCTTCAAGTAGCTTTTACAAAACAGCGCAAATTTAAGTTAATAAATTATCAATTATGAGAAGAACATGTAAGAATTTTAGCAAGAACACTGAGAATATTAGCTGATGTGAAAAAAAAATTATAACTATTTTATCCGAATATTTGTTTTTTTCAGAGATCGGATATGGCATTGGGGCGGATAATCGTTTTATCCGTGTTAATTACTCAAACACTATCCGCGCCAAGTGGCTGCATAGAATCCTGCAATTTTTATCAGACATCTTATCAGAGTCGTCGCGCGTCAACCGGTTATCAGGATCATGCGGGATTGATTCAAGAAGGCGCACATCTGAACGATCACGATTATGCCAAGCCAGGAAACTGGACGGAACATAATCAGTATGACACAGAAAGTGGACACGGCAAAGTTCACGAAGAACGTGGCCAATATGTCGAGGGATCGAAAAGAGTGCGATATTACAAGAAAAATTACACTTCGTCTTACGGTAACGTAAACGGATTAGACGCAACGGAATTAGGTGATTTGAGCGCCCAACGGAGATACGATTCAGTGCGCATTCCGAGTAGTCAGCATCTCGATTCTCAAAGTACGTACGGCCAATCAGGACAGACAGTCGTGAAGGAGACCGGATACAACACTATGCACAATCAACAGACACAGTCGTCGTCGTCGTCGAGAATCGATAGCAAGAGTGAGAGATTGGAAGATTTTGAGGACTACAGCGGACATTCGCAAGTGAATCAACAACATGTACCTACCAACGTAAACACGCAAACGATAGACACGCAGCACCACATCGAAACCACTCCCAAAAATTGGAGCAGAGTGGATTCTTACAGAACTGACGGGGGCCAGGGACGCGTCTTCGAGGAAGAGGGTCAGTACGTAACCGGACCCAAGAAGGTTCGTTATTACAAGAAGAATTACACCTCCAGCTACAGCACGTCTGGCGTTCCGCAGACCAACGTCGACTCAAGAGTGAGCGAACTGCACAATGAGTTGCAGAGAAATGTAGAAAGGGAACTCAATAACTTCAGAAGAGAATTTCACGAATCTTCCAGCAGCGGACACACCGCCTCAAGTGTAGGCTCGTTAGATTTGTCCCAGGAAACAGTTGGCTTTCACGGCAACGATCTCCAGACCGCCGAGAGTGACACTTACAGACAACAGCTGGGTTATCGTCCGTCCGTAGGAACTGTGCGCCATTATACCGACCAGCAGCAGCACAGAGAAACCTACACTGACACGAGACAACCACTGACTCACACATATCCTTCCAGTACGTTCGACACGGACAGTCAAAGAACCTATCAAAGCCATCAGACTTACACTTCCCAAGCGCGTCCCGTTTCTCAATCAGGACATGTAACGCATCACGCATTGATCCCCGATTACACACAGATTCCAGCTAGAAACGATTATCATCAAACAAGCTTGCAAAACGCGCATTCCAGCAGCAATCGCCACGACGAAATCCAACGTACACAAGTTTTCGGTTCGCATCAGCAGTCCGGTGTGGCCCAGAATCAATTGCTCACCGACACCACTCAACAGGTGTACAATCCTAGTTACGGCACTTATCCCAGCAGACGCGGTGAATCTAGACATTACGAAGAACACTGGAGTTCTTCCAGCCATAGCGGAGGACGCGTAGCGCCAGAACAGTCTGCGGACTATGTGCACGGTACTGGACACGCAGACAGAACGCATTACGATCGGGACGCGTATAACGAGCACCGCGGTCGTTATCACACCGCACAGGGATACAACTCGCATGCTGCACATTCTAGTGAGAGCAGTCACAATTCCGCATTCGGAACGAGTTCGGGACACCTTGCTACCGGATCGCTGGACTTGTCTCACGTGGCACCAGGCGCCGCTGATTGTACCGAAGAGACCCAACAGTATCAGCAGCAGACCAGGTATCATAGAAAATACAAACGAGATGATCATCATGCGCAACAGTATCAAACGGCTGAGGATCAAACGTTATCGCAGCTCGCCAATGATCAACAATCGGAAGATTTAACGCAACAGACACAAGGATCTGACGACCTAACACAACAAACAAGCGGTAAACTTGAATTCGGTCAGCAGACCGTTGATGGTCAACACTTGGAAGATTTGACGCAGCAGACGCAAGGCCACCTGGAATTTGGACAACAAAC